AGTCTGGAATATCAGTATGCAAAGGGATCTTGTAGCACCTTTGAGAAGAACTGAAAGAAAGAAGTTGTAGCATGAGCTTTTGTGGACTTGGGCCCAAAATACACTGCAGAAATAATCCAGTTTGAGACCGCTTTAATGTCCTGGCTGAAAGCTAGGGAATTCTGGGAACTATAGTTTTGTGAGACCTTTAGCCTTCTCTGTCAGAGAGCTCTGGTGTCACAACAAACTACAATTTCCAGGATTCCCTAGCACTGAGCCAGGGCAGTTAAAGTGGCCTCAAACTGAATTGTTTCTGCAGTGTGTTTTGGATCTTGGTCTACTTCCTCAGATGCATGGCAGGGGAGGAAGTGGGCCAAATCTAGGAAAGCTTATGCTACAACCTTTTTCACACGGTTAGTCTCAAAGGTGTTGCAAGATCCCTTTACATACTGATAAAAAAAGTAGTACAAGTACCACTTCACAGGCTTTGTAGAAGGTGATTTGGTTTGGCAGGAATCTGTACCTTCAGTATCTAGAGTAGAGAACGAGAACCTCACACTCTCTCTGTAGATTTTGGACTTTCATTGTTTTGTACCTTCAAGTCATTTCTGACTTATGGCAACCCTAAGGCAAACCTATTGCGAGGTTTTCTTGGCAGAATTTGTTCAGAGGGGGTTTGCCATTGCTTTTCTCTGAGGCTGAGAGAGTGTGATTGCCCAAGATCACCCAGTGGGTTTCCATAGCTAAGGTAGCCTGGCACTCTCCAGAATGTTTTAAGACTACTACTGACATGAGCTGCAGCCAGGATGGCTGATGATCAGGGGTTATTGGGAGTTGTAGTGAGAGCCAGCATGGTATGGTGGTTTGATAGAGGGAGGAGGTCTCTTGGCTATTCTGCTCTTTCCCCCCTCAGAAAATACCCAGGCAGAGAAAAGTTTAAAACTCAGATATGCTATCACAAATAATAGGCATATAAGGATGTTTCAATAAAGTTTTGTACCAATTTCCAGCTTCTTTTAAACAGTTGTTAATACTTAAGGTCCTTTTCACACTTCTCAATCATAGTGCTATGATTCCTGTGTAATCCTGGGATTTGGAGTTCAGGCAATAGTATTTAGAGTTTTCAGCCAGAGTGCATTCCTGCCTTACCAAATTACAAACCCCAGGATTCAGTGATAGCTGTGGCAGTTAAAATGGGATCATAGTATTATGTTGTGCGAAAGAGCTCTAATTCTCCATATAAATTGGGTATCTATGTTTTTTCACTACTACCCAGGTAGTTGTTATTTTAAAGAAAAACATAGCAAGGAAAAAGTTCTGAGATAAGACATTCTAAGTGGATACACAGAGAGGTGATATAAGAGCCCCTCAAATATTCTGAGGCCTTTCCTTCCACCTTTTACCTTAAAAAGTCATACAGTGAGATATTGAAGATTCTGAGTATATGTGTGCAAAATAATAACAAGTTGTGTTCAGAAGTGACAGTGCAAAACATTTTTGTTTGCTACTAGAAGGCTTAGACAAGTACAATGGGATTTGAATCCTTGTTAACCATTGAGTTGGTATAGGAATGATGTGAGGGGAAAACTCCTTGAAGCATTTCATAAATCTTCCTCTGCTCTTAAAACACCTCACTTTATTAATGCATTTTAAAAATCTGCTTATTAAATAAACTATTCAGGGCAGCTTTAGTAGAGCTATAATGTGATCTTCACTGTGAAGTAGTTCTTCCTCATCTTTAGGTGGAAACTCTTTTCTTGTAATTTGAACCCATTAGTTTGTGTTCTGGTCTCTGGAGCAGCACAAAGCAAGCTTGTTCCATCTTCTACATGACATCTCTTCAGATATTTAAAGATGGCTATTATGGCATCTCTCAGTCTTCTCTCTCAGAACATGTGGCTGAACCCTGTATGTCTGTGAATATGGCCTTGGAAATAAGTCCACAAAGGTCACTATCCTGCACACAAAGATATTAGCCTGCTTGCCCAGGACACATTTGTGTCCTGATGATAGTCTGGGAAAGAAAGTGTTTAAATTTTGCAGCTCTAGC